GACAGTAATGGTTGAAACTGCGGCTGATCTACACAAATGATGATATAGCTTTATGTGTACAACAATCATTATTTTACATCTTACAAGCCTACTTAATAGCTTACTAGCCAGATATAGATACTAAGATTGATGCTTATTGTACAAGATATACCGGTGAATTATGTTTAGAAATGAATGTTGGACGTTTGTAAGCATAAGAATACCGATATTATCGTCGTCAGACAAATTACAGAGAGTTTATTAAATGATAAATTATATTTACTTCTGTAAGTAAATCTTTTTAGATATTTTTACAAGTCGGACTTTACAGCTAGAAGGCGCCAGCATTTTCTAAGACTCACTCTGGGAAGAAACGCCGAAACAAACCACAGAGGTGTCTCTGTTTTAGTTTTAAACCAAGTTAAAGAAAAATGTGCGAGTACAGTGTAGGGTGTGGGTAGGCCTTTTGAAGAAAGAATCATAGCTTTGAATCGGCCTGTTCATATAGACGGCATACTGTGTATCTTAACCGATAATTCATCATAATCATCCTTTATTAGTCCACTGCGGGACAGTGGCCTCTCCTTAGAATGGATGTTTCAGCCTACTATACCAAGCTGGCCAAACGCGTTAGTATAGGGTTTGTTTCAAGTTTTCCTTCTCTCTGCAGTGCTGTTGTCCTGCGTAGTTTGCTCCCTTAGTCGGCTTGTACGACACCCACGGGATGAATAGGGATAGTGACACTCCGTATTCTTAATCCGTCACCACACGGATAGTGCGAACGGTGTGCAAACACCGTGTGGCTTTCCTAACGTCACCTCACGTCACGATGTCATGTTTAGCTCCGATGAGTTGATGTCGTATAGGGGTTCCCATGTAATACAAAAAATGTTAAAAAGCAATTCCAACCTTCGCTGACACACTCGAAACCTTTGTCAAACAAAACCCAAGGTCTCCAATATTGGTTCAAACGTTGAACAAACATTTACACACATAATATACATTCCAGAGGCGTGTTGTATTGTTTGATTTGAATATAAAAACGAGGTTAAACTTTTGATAGTTAGTATGATAATAAGATGGGTAAGCGTGGGTGATGAGCTTCCGATTCTTTGGTTCCGGATATGAATGGTGATAATTTATAACGAAGGAGTTTTCATTTTAGGTATTGTTAAGTGGTTTTGTAAATTTCCGATATATGTCCTCACACATTTCACACACGGCCGTCTGATCCCAAACTACGCAGAACATGTACTATGGTAACCAGACTGCTGATACATATACTTATATATTTCTAAACACATACATATCCAAAGTATAATATTATATATGCGAAAGTGGTACTTGTTAGCACTTAAATACAGACAATAGTTAGCGCTTATATACAGACAAAGACAAGACAGATAAATACTTGAGTTATTTTCAAAAACAATTAAAATTTAAACAATTGTTCAACATTTAAATTTAAATTTTTTCCATCAGAATCTTTTAAACAAAGACTAATTTTGAATTATTTCAAGCTATTGTGACATTGAAATGTTTACTGCATTAAACGTTAAAGATAACAGGTTCAATTCTCGTTTAGTTCAAATATTTCTATAAATGCTTCTTTCTTTGACTTGCCCATTAGTTAGTGACCCTGACTGCTAAACTAAGATCGTGGGTTTGATTCCTATCATCATCATCTAAAGGCTTTAATAGTCCACGGCTAGGCAAAGGTCTCTCCTTAGAAATTAGGTTTTGGCTTAGGTACTATACCACGCTGACCATACGGGTTAGGAAATATATATGCTTAACAGACGGCCGTGTGAGGTATGTGATCCTATTATTATAATTATCGCCATATTTCATCAAACTTATACTAAACTTTAATAAATGATATACTAACTTTTAAACTTTCGCGTTCCATGATAATTAATATCATTTAACGGGAATTAACGCGATCTCTTATTTAGGGTATTACATACCAGGTTGCACCGGCCGTGGTCACAGGCTGTGACCACGGCCGGTGCAACCTGGTCGAAACGTCAGGCAAACCAGAGGTATGTAATACCCTAAATAAGAGATCGCGTTAATTCCCGTTAAATAATATTAAATGATATACTTAAAACTTCCTCATAAATGAATCTATCCATTGGTGAAAGCCCTATAACAATCCGTCAAACACTTATGTAGATTATCGCGTTCAAATAGACATATAGACAGAGAAGACAGATAGACAAACGCAGCGGGGTTCTTTATCTCGTAATACGTAGTTATTAATCTTTTAACCCAATTTCTAATCGTTCTGTAATAGATCTTTCAACACATAAGATCATATCGTATTAAATACGTAATACCGTAATATTATAAAACTGGAGAGTTTGTTTGTTTGAACAGGCTAATCTCAGAAACTACTGGTTCGAATTGGAAGATTATCTTTGTGTTGGATAGCTCATTGATCGAGGAAGGCTATAGAACATTACATTACGACTAATAAAAGCTGTGGATCAATGAAAGATGTTGCAAAAATGGGTTTTTTTTTTGAGAGACTCAGTACAGAATCTTATTTTTGTTATTCATTGAGTACTGATACTCACTGAATAACAAAAGTAGAATTTTATAATAACTCAAAACTTGTATAAGTAGTTTTACATTGTTTTAAGTTTGCATGTTATTCGTTATATCTTCCCGTAATTATCCATCATGGCCGCCATTACCAAGTTCATTGTCAAACAAACTAGTTATCAATATTATTTCTTTCTAGATAAAAGATTTAATTATTTGTACTTCTATTTCTTAAATTACAGGGACGGGCTTTTTAAACGAGCGAGCTAGGCCCAATATATACATTTACAATGATCGCATTTAAAGGCTTGCGTTGCGCAATACGCGTCAGTAAAGCTTCGCCCACAACTGACACGAATACATGTTGACTCACCATCCAAATAAAACGAACAATTAATGAACCAAGCAAAACCTTAAAAAATTCATAGAATTCGACACACAAATCTATATAAAACTTACTATTTCGTTTATCGTGTTTCAAACTAACGTAACGTAACGTAACGTCTTTTTAAAATAACGAACTTCCTTACAACCGTTAATTCCTTATTTTCTTATCTTAGAGGTTCACATCAACAGCCTATGATAGTCCACTACTGGACATAGGCCTCTCCTGAGAAAGGAGGTTTTGGCCTACCATACCACGCATGCCAGACGGGTGTCGACTTTTACGACACACACGGGATGAATAGGGGTGGTGACATTACGTATTCTTAATCTGTCACCACACGGATGGTTAATTTTCAAAAATCCTTTTTTAATGGTTGCTTACAACATCAAAAGCATCAGCTGCCAAAATGTGAAGTTTGAAGCCCCAGTGGTTTAGGGTCTGCGTTGATGAATCAGTCAATCAGGACAAGTCACTTTATATGTATATGTCCCCTATTCATCCCGTGGGTGTCGTAAGAGCCAACTAAGGTAGCAAACTACGTAGGACAACAGCACTGCAAAGAGAAGGAAAACTTGATACAACCCTTTTTTTACGTGTGGAAATCCCCTCGGACCGTCACCCCGCCGGGGCCTTCTGTTCGGCGGGGCGGTGTGTCGGACTCGAACCGACTAAAACCACACGGTGTGCCCTCTTTGCGCTTCTATTTTAGGGGGGTCCAGGTAGTTATCTCCTTCTGGACCCCTCCCAGAACTTGATACAACCCTATACCAACCCATCTGGCCAGCGAGGTATAGTTAGCCAAAACCTCCTCTCTAAGGAGAGGCCTATTTCAGGCAGTGCAGCAGTCATACACGAACGAGTCTAGTTTGAATTTAGGTTAATTTATATTTATGTTTACAGTTAAACAATAAAGGCGGACATATTCACCTCAGACTTAAATACGGTTCACTCTTAAGTCAAATGGGTTTCTATTCATTAAACGTCAAAAGGATAATGTTTTGTTCAGCAATTGCAAGCCTATGTTTTTTTATGAAATAGGGGGCAAACGAGCAGACGTGTAACCTGATGGAAAGCGACTACAGCGGTAATTTTATATGTATTGATTTATAAATTTGCCGAATTATCGACTCGGCCTTTGTGCGGTGACCCTGAATGTAAATTATGTTGCTTCAAATTATCCATAACGCGATCATCAAAATACAAGTTTTATTATTAGTAACTACTGAATCGTCAGTCGATAGTCTGTCTATTGATAACGCGGATCACGTCCCAATGATGAACTTGTGGGTATGGCCTGTTATACCCTTCACTTTTTGTGGTTTTGACGACCGAATGGCGTAGTGGTTTGTGTAACGGACTGCTATTCCAAAGGATGCGGGTTCGATTCCCGCTCAAGTCAAACATTTGTGTGCATGAACATTTAATGTTTGATTTGGTCTGGGTGTTTCTATGTATAATAAGTATGTGTTTACAAAAAAAAAAAGTATATATGTATTTATATCAGTTGTCTAGTACCCATAGTACAAGCTCTGCTTAGTTTGGGACCAGATGGCGTTGTGTGAATGTGGTACAATATTATTATTATTATTATTTTACGTCCAATAAAACGGTTACAGTATACCAAGTAACATAAGCTCTATCACCATGCAAAAAAGAAGAGAGAGAGATTTGCTTTATATCTTATTGGCTTTGTCTAAATCATTCAAGATAAAATAACCAGTCTGTACTTTTGATCTCAGTAACTAAGGTAAAAACTAAAACATAAGCGAGACAGGGCTATCTGTCACCCAAGCAAAAGCAAAAGTAAGCCAATGAATGCAGCAGGATTCTTCATGGCTCTTCATTAGAGGGACTAGGCCTCTCCTCATATCATAGAAGGTTCGCTTCTAGGGAAGCTACGCTGAATATCTTGACCCTCTGATGGGACATGGTGTGGTTTATAGTCGGTCCGAGTCCGATATACGTTCTTGTTTGGCTCTAGTGTAATAACTATCCATAGGGGATTCCAAACGAAAAAGTCTCGCCAATTTGATCAAAACTGTTTCTCTAAAAACTCCATCCTAATATGTGGTTTCTTTTGTTACAGAACCATGAAGCCGCTATTTCCAATAGTGGTTGCCATACTGGTCATTGCGACCAATGCTCACTCCAAATCCACCGAGTCAAAAGTTCTGGCCGAGAGCAAAGAACCAGTAGCAGAAGCCGAAGAAAGCGAGCCTCAGACAAGATCAGAAAGATGTACAGTATGCTCTGGTACATCAAGCCTGAAAACTCATAGCCACCACGCCTCAGGAAATTTCCAGACGTTACCACAAATCAGTGAGGTGCACACACAACAGTTCTTCGAAGAATGCAACTCAGAGAAAGGTTGTGCTGGAGTCAAGCTAAAAGATGGGAAACTCGTTCAAAAGTACGGAGACCTCGATGCTTTTAAAGCAGCCGCTGAAGCCAATAATGGAGAAGAATTCCAATTCCAAGCGGCTGCAAGTAAGGTATTAGAAGGAAAAATTCCAAACAGTGGACCATTTTGGTGGATGAATGAGAATTCTCCTTTCAAAAATGTTGGAGGCGCTGGCGGTAGCTCTCAGAAATTCAGCAAATTTCAGTCCTCAAGCTTTAGCTCCGCAAGCAACGGAGGCTCAGGTGGAGTGAATATTGCCGCTAACCCATTCTTAAATGGAGAGTTAAGTAAAATTAATAATGGTTTCACTAGCGGCGGTGCTAACTTTGCAGGACAAGGCTTTAAGGCTATTGGAGGAAGCCAGGGAGCAGGATTTAGTACTGGTGGCACAGGATTAGCCAATGGTTTCGGTAGTGGTTCCCAAAGTAGTTACGGATCTAGTTCTCAAAACAGTTTTGCTGGTGGTCAAAATGGTTTCTCTGCCCAAGGAGGCCTTAATCAAGCTGGTCTCGGATTAGGAGGAAGCCAGAGCAATTTCAATGCCTTTAACTCTGCAAGCAAGTTTGGCTCAGGATTCACTGGATCTTCACCAGCGCCTTTCTCTTCCACTGGAGCCAATGTCAATCTTATTCAGAACTCCCAGAAGACATCAGATTATGACTTCGAACAGCAACAACAGACACAACAAAATATTGATGAAGCTTTCGCTGCTACTGGCAATGTTCAGGGTTCTGTGAATTCTGGTGGGGAGTTACAGCAGACCTGTGCTGGTCAAGGCTATATTTGTGTACACAAAACACAGTGCAATAACGGAGTTGTGAACACCAATGGAGGAAATTTGCAACGCGAGAATACCCAGGTAGGTGAACTTTTATAATGAACATACTTTTTTCTAAACAGATTAGGTAATCCAGCCTAGTCTAGGTAGTCTGAAAGTCTGGTAATAATAGATCAGCGGTAACTACAGTCGGTCACAATACCGCCCCTATCCCTATATATCTAAGCTCTGCTTTGGACGAATATGGCAATACTTCTCCTCAACAAATACCCGAGAATTAGCTAGAACTAAGTCATTTACTATGTAACTACGACCTTCTGGAAGGTATAAGTGAACGCAGATAAGCGGAAGACGGCAACGGAAGGTAACATTCGATTTTTATCACATGGAGAGTACTATTGCTGTTTACCATAGGGCACAGGTTCTCCATAACACCTGGGCCTCAATTCTGCTATTTTATGTTCACGCCAAGCCAGTGTCATACCACTGACACGATATTGAGATGCCATCGAGTGGCCATTGGCATCGGTATAAATATCGGTAGTCTACACTAACTCAGTGTATTTACGGTGGCGATGGAATGGCAGTGACTCATCAGTGGTGATATATTCCTTATAATTTGAAAATATATTATATAAATGATTTATTTATTTTTCAAAAAATGGCAATCTTTTTGATATCACACTGACGGTATGACAGTGGCTTAGCGTAAACATAAAATAGCAGAATTGAGGCCCTGGTCCTCTGCCTTCCTCGGCCAGTTCATCCAAACTATGTGTTATGTAATCTAGAAACTCTAAACTACAATCGTAGAACTCAAAACTATTTATACTTAATCATAGTATTAAAAAAAGATCTTTAGACAAATTAGATAATTTCATTGTTTTATTCTGTTGACTCAAAACTAAAAACATAATGATGTACTCGTACAATACTAAATAAATATTAAATAAAAATGAATTTTAACTAAATAAGCATTATACCAACGACCTCAAGCCATGAGGTCGATAAATATTGAATTATGTCATAATCTTCTTAGAGGCCGCCGTAATCGGCTTCTGACTTCACGACTTTTATTGTTTGGGGACTAGCCAGAAGTTACATAAAAGGAGCATCAATAGAAAATGTTTTTACATTACGTATAATTCATAATTTTATGTTCCGGGTCATTTAAAAGGTCGATGTTTAACCTTGTGGCGAAGAACCGAAGATCACCAATAAATTTTATTATAATATGGTCCTATTTAGTGTAAGCACGTTTACTGGAATGAACTTAGCGTGATAAACTTTTGCCCGGTTAAATTGGCTGAGTTGGAAAGAATCTGGGTTTGAATATTTAACTTAAAATTAATAAGCAGCAACTTGTGTCATGTATACTTTTATACCCATACCGCCCCAAAGTTCTTCTGAAACATATTAAACGCAGGCTGGCTAGAAAGGGAACGTGGGTTTCTTTCTTAGCCAGGAAAAATAATTGTCTGATAAACACAATTATTTGTTCTGTGTCTGGGTGTAATTTTCCAATAATTTAAGTATGTATTTAGAAATATATAAGTGTGTACTTCAGCAGTAGTTACCTGGTTTGGGATCAGACGGCCGTGTGTGAGATGTATTAGGTTATTATTATTTGTTAACTATAATTTTAGTCTCACTTAAGTTGCCCTATTGCTGACAACTGGATAAAAGTAGCAGCTAAGAAGGAAATGCCATGACAGAGAAGAAATATGGCTTATTCAGATGGGTTAGGGAGTGTAAGCCTAGCTGGAGCACAAAGCTAGAAACTCGGTTACTTCAAAAGAATGTGTTCTTTCGATACCACCTTCAAACCTTCAAGAAAAGAGCGTACTCCTTCCTAAAAGGCCGGCAACGCGTTTGTGACTCCTAAGTTGCAGACGTTCATGGGCGGCGATAGTCACTTTCCATCAGGTGACTCGTCTGCTCGTCTGCCCCCACTAACGTAAAAAAAGGAATCTTTATTATACACCAGCTGTACCCTGCCCCCCTTTGCTGTGGCACATTATGGTTACATTGGAAAATGAGAAACAAAACTGGCGTGAAATATATAAAAAAACAATGTTTGACGCGGTTTTGGTATATCGTGTCAAAATTTTAACTCAATTTTTTGAGTGCAAACCAACTTAAAAAAAATATATTTATAAAACTATTAAAATTGTATGTGTAGTGTTTATCTTAATCATAAAACACATGTTTTCGCGACATCACCTTAATGCCAAGGCCCTATCAATTAAAATGCCAAACCCGAGAACCGAACGCGGATATACCTAATCATATTGTTCGTTTGTTTGTTTATGTAGATATAAGAAACTGATTGATTCGTTTTCATTGAATTCTTTTGATAGAATAGACTTTTTTGTACATGGTTAAATGGAATTCATCTTAAATTGTGTTAAATCAATAATAATCGTCACAATTAATGACTAGACCAATAGTTAGTTACACCACCTGCAAGTTACGATTCGTAACCCGGGTGGTGTACATGATTACGGGGTTTTTTTGTAGCCAGACGATAGATAGTACTATTTGTACCTAGAGGGCTCCCCAATAGGACTGTTGGTCTAGTGATTAGTGAGCCTGACTGTTAAACCAGTGGTCGTGGGTTCGATTCTCACCCAGGACAAATAATTGTATGATATGCAATTTCCGGGACAAACAATAACCTAACTTACTCCTTATAGTACCACCTGGTAGTAAAATATATTCAAAATCGGTCCAGCCGTTTAGAAGATTACCCGGAACAAACAGACAGACAGACCAAAAAATATTTAAAATGGTTTTAAGGCATAGGTATAATGCAAATAACCGTGTAAGCATGAAAAAAAACTTACTATTTTGACATTACAAACAGACCTCAATTTTATTTATTTCTATAGATTTGTATAGATTTCTAGAATTATCTAAGCTAGTTTCATCTTACTTGATGGCTGTAATTCAAACATAACATATATTTTTTACCTTATCATTTCCTGTACACTTTGAATTATCATTGTTAGACCATATTACGATATGCCAACATACTCATTTTATGTCATCATACTTCTGCCGTTTATGTTCACCATGTGTAACGTTTTAAGAGCTGAAACCTCCCCCTCCCTCTGATTCTGGGGAGGACTTAAAAAGTGGTAACGCATTTGGGACTCTTTTCAAGACTTAATTTTGCAGAACATAAAAGTTCTTACAATAATCTCAGTTTTATCATATTCTGCTGTTACAGCAGGATGCAAAACTAATACAGTCCATACTAATGTGTCTGTCTGTCTGTGGACTGTTACCTCTTCACACTTAAACCGTTAAACCGAATTAGATGAAATTTGGTACATCATAATCATCAACAGCCTATAACAGTCCACTGCTGGACCTAGGCCTCTCCTTAGAAAGGAAGTTTTGTCCTACTAAACCACGCTAAATTTGGTACAGAGATAGATTAAGTCCCGGGAAAGGACAAAGGATAGTTTTTATTCCGGAAATCATCTTTTAAGGGGGTAAAAAGGAGGGTGTAAGTTTGTATAGGGAATCAATAACCGCTGAACCGATTCAGATGATATTTGGTATAGTGATAGTGTGATACTTGAGAAAGAACATGGGCTAGTTTTTACCCAGATAACCGACATACACGCGGGTGGAGCCGCGGGCAAATCTAGTAAATATAAAGATTAGAACTGACTGCACGGATGGCGTAGTGGTTTAAGCGGTTACCACGCCGCTTCCTACTACGTCGAGTGTTGTGGGTTCAAACCCCACATGGGACGACACTTAGTGTGATCCACAAATTGTTGTTCTGAGTCTGAGTGTTCTTTGTGTCCGTTTCATGTATGTTTGTAAAGTCCCCCGCGACACAGGATATGTTCCTAATGCGGGAATAGTCTTTTTAAAAAAGAAAAGAAAAAGAAAGAAAGAACTGAGGAAAATCACAAAGCCATGATGTTTATATGGTTATCACATCACATCAACAGCCTTGAACAGTCCACTGCTGGACTATAAAATATTTATTTGAATCCATACTTATATTGTACCAGCTGAGACCCGCGGTGTCACCCGCGTTTGTTGTTATAACCGCGGGCAAAGCCGCGGGGCGAAGCTAGTCTTAAAAAAGTAGCCCAAGTTACTGCTTATGTCATCAGCTATCTGCCAGTGAAAGTCCCGTCAAAATCGGTCCAGCCGTTCCAGAGATTACCCGGAACAAACAGACAGACAGACACAAAAATTGTAAAAAATGTTATTTTGGCATATGTACCGTGTAAACATACATATGCATTTAGTAAAAAGCGGTTATTTTAATATTACAAACAGACACTCCAATTTTATTTATTTGTATAGAAAAACTAGTAAATACTTAAACACTAATATTATAAATGCGGAAGTGTGCCTCTCTATCTGTCTGTAACCTCTTCACGCTTAAAATGCTGTACCGATTTAGATTAAAATCAGTAGCGATAGTTCGAGTCCCAGGGAAGGACATAGAATAGTTTTTATCTTAGAAATCATCCTTATATGGGGTGAAAAGGGGGTTTAAAGTTTGTATGGAGAATCAATAACCGCTGAATCGATTTAAATGAAATTTGGAATTGAGATAGTTTGTTTCTTGATGAAAGACATAGGCTATCGATAAAATATCGATAACCGACAGAACAACAATTTGTGGATCACAGAAAGTGATGTCCGATATCGGGATCGAACTCACAACACTCAGTGAGGTGACCGCTTACATCACTACGCCATCCGCGTAGTCAAGTTTTGAGTTATAGGCGTTCATGTGCGGTTACCTTTAGGGCCATTAAAAATAAAGAACGTACCGCAATTCGAACCGGAGATATATAACAATAATGCTATTTAAACATAATTGGACACGTCGGTGGTCTGGTAACCTTGACTGCTAAGCCGGAGGTCGTTGGTTCAATTCCCATACAGGACAAATATTGTTCCATTTGTTCTGTGTCTAGGTGTTGTTCTCATTTAGAAATATAATACTTAAGTATATTTATCAGCTGTTCGTGTAGTGACGGATTAAGAATACGGAATGTCACTACCCCAATTCATCCCGTGGGTGTCGTAAGAGGCGACTA